GCGCGCGCACGGGAGGTCGGAGCGGAGGCGCCGCCGGGCGCGCGCGGCTTGGTTCACGGGGACTCTTAACGCGCACGCGCTTTGGGGGGGAAGGGCGGGTGGAGATCTGCTGTGCGCAGGCGCAGTGTGGTAGCCAGGCCTTGGCGGCGCCACTGCAAAGCTGAGGGCCCCTAGTTGTCCTCCAGCCTACTGGTGTGGGGCAGATGTTGAGTGGCGCGAGCGTGGCACGTGGGTGGACCAGGATGCCAGGAGAGTGTGAGAGGTTCATCTGATGACGTGGGCCGGTCTCTTCCTGGTCTTGGGAGTTGAGCATACTACTAAGTTGTGGGAAAGGGAGAAAAATAACGCGGAATTGTTTCCCTACTTGTACCTTAAGGCAAGGTTTTCACTGCAAAGAGTAAAAAATTGAGAGTTTCCAGGTGATGGTTGGGCCCGTTCCTTCCTGGTCCCTTTTTTGGGGGGAATTCTGGTCACTTTGCCTTCCCTGTCTTATTTTCTATTCTCCCTTCATTTACCCTAGAGCTGGCTCAGTCCCGCTGCCTCTTTTACCGTTGTTTTTAAAGACTTTACCTCTTGGCTTGCACCCTTTGGGAACTAGAACGACTTCTGTGTGGTAACTGTTGGGAGTTTTCTGCCTGTGTGTCGGGGAAGAAGGGTTTGGCTACTTACACATAGCTTGTGTGTCCTTGAACTCTTATACATCTTTGAAGAGTTCAGACCTTAAGTGTCTACTTGGGCAGGATCGCTGAATGCTGATCTTGGCTAAACTTATGAAGAGTAAGGTGATCTTGTTGAAGAATTGGGTTTTTCATGTAGTAATGTGTAGTGATAGGTTTAGTTGTATTCTGGCTTCATTCAGAAAGGTGACTGGTGAGTGGTGGAGGTAGGAGGAGCCAGCAACACCCCCCACCCCCACCCCATCCCCTGCCAGCATTGCTCTTCAGATTTGTCTGTGATTCTTCAATCTACCCTTGTCTCCCCTGGGGCTCGTAAGGCATTTGTGCCAATGTAGTGTAATGTATATATCTTTGTAGTATTTGATTTCATTATGTGAAATTTTAGGTGCTGAGGTTTGTTATTTTGTTTACACACATGTTGCAGAGTTTCTTTGGAGGGAAATTATAAATGTGAAATGTTAACTTTTCTGACCCAGGGCCTGGTACCCTTGTAGCAGCCGTATGTTTTGTTTTAATCTCTGACCTCTGAGGTTTGTCTTAATTTCTGTGACATTTAAATTTTAGCTTAGGTCCTCCGCTTCACAGTCTGCTAAGGTTCTGTGTGAGACAGGTGTCCTGTGCTGCCTGTTGGTAGTTCCTGTGCTAGTTTATATTTGCGTCTGATTCGACTGTATCTGCCTTTAGACTTCCCAAATAAGAAGCGGAAGAGGAGCCGCTGGAACCAGGACACAATGGAACAGAAGACAGTGATTCCAGGAATGCCTACCGTTATTCCTCCTGGACTTACTCGAGAACAAGAAAGAGCTTATATAGGTAAATACACGTTCTGCATCTAAATGCATTTTGTGATTGTTACTGATTGTTACTGTTTATTCTGAACAATATTTCTGTGCATTGGAAGTTTAAGATTTTAGTGGTTTCTTTTTTGATAAGACGTATGATGAGGTGTACTTTCACAACTTTGACGTAATCTGTCAGTTTTTGCTCAGTGAGTCCTGCTTTTGCAGTTCCTTGTTTTGGTTTGTTCATAACAACAGTGTTCTCCATGAGTGCCAGGAAGGTAGAGCGGCCCACTTAGGAGTGAGCATAGTCCCCAGGCTAGCCCCCCACCTCACTCCATCCTTTTCAGCTGCCGTTCAGTTTCCTTGCCAGTTGATGAGGTGAGTGTCTTGTGCCTCTGGACATGGCCCCAGTGGAGAGCACTGCAGGTATTGTACACCCAAGTACGTTTTTCACAGCATGACCTTTGACCATAATTTTGTATTCCTCTCTTCCCCTAAAATGTGGTTTTACTTTTTTATAGGTATTTTCTGAAAAGAAAAAAATAAAGCTAAGTTTAAACAAAAAAGTGGTTCTTTTAAGTGTGTTTACAGTTCACCCCTTTTTACCATTTTGTTGAAATTAACCTTTCCTTCAGCATTTATTCTGGTTTGGTCTTTGGAGAGCTGTCTTAAAACGAAGGCTCTTGTATTTATTACTAAAGAATTCTGCTGGGAAAGGGGATACTGCCTGGACGTGGAACGAGGTGGTAGGGTAAAAGATCTGGTCTGTTGGGAAATTTCAAGAATTAAGCATGACTGCCCACATTGGAATCAAAATTAACCTCAGAATTACTTTTTTTTTTTAATACAAGGTTTTTAATGCAGGTTTTACTTTTATATACCCGTGCAGCTGTTTCAAAAAACTTCATTTGATAAGTAATTTCTACTAACTAAAGAACCATTCCCTTTGGGAGATACTAGGCAAAAGACTTCCTAGACCTTTGAGGCTGTGGCCTTCACAAACAAAAAACTTTAAGGCTGGCATGTTATAATTCTTGAGGGTCTTAATTCTTAGATTGCTGAGAATTTTGAAGCTTTGGAATTATCTATCTCCTTTTCACAGTGCTACTAATATTTCTTTTTTCTGCACTGATCCTCTACTCCCACCCAACCCTTTCTGTTTTGTGTTAGACCCATTTGGGTCCTTACAACCCCAGTGAAAATGCCCTCTAGTGGATTGATGTCCCAAGAACGTAAACAGCCTTAGAAAATGGGAAAAACTCATTCTTTACATCTCCACTTTGCTCCCTGTGAAGGTATAGTAATGCACTGAGTCCTAAGGGCTATTTATAGCTGTGATCAAAGTAGAGGTTGGGGTAGATCTTGGCTCCCTGAAAAGCACAGAATAGGAGACACTATGGCTTCGAACCTGTTTGTTCCAGTTGGAACCCCTGCTGAGAACTTGGTTTCTAACAAGTTGCCAGACAATGCTTATACTGCTGATTAGGTACCAATTCTGAGAACCACTAGTAAAGCAGTGGTTCTCAAAATTTATTATACATAAGAATCACCTGGGGAGCTTGTTAAACTGTAGCTTCTCATTCAGGACATCTGGGGTGGAAATGCAAATGCTCAGCAGGGTTTGAACCGGAATGAATGAGTTTGAAGCCCTGGGAGACACATACCATTAGCAGAGGGAATTGCCTTAAAGTTGTTAGTGTGTGACCTTTTTGATTTCTCTTTAGTGCCAGCTATTTCTTCAGATCAGATCCCACACCCCCCACAGTCCAGCTAAGAGGACCACCTATGCCCATGAAGGTGACTTTAGTCTTGAGTTGTTGAACTTAATACTTGACTGCTGAATTGGAACTTTCTGGAATAAAGAAGCTTAGGGAAGCATGTCTTAGCTCACTTACCTACCACGATGTGCACTGTCTTGTTCAGAATGCCCCCAACATCTCTTGATGTCAGTAGATTTCCATTTCTTCAGAGCTTGAGTGGTGTGTGGTGTAGCTCTGTGAGATATATTTAAAATAAGAAGGGCATCTTGGGTTAGACATGCATTCATCCCATCTGGGGGCCAACTCAACATTAACCCAGTCCAGTAAGGCTTGCCATTATTAGAGCTGTTTGCTCAGTTTTCAGGTACTTTAAAGGTAAGAAACAGGTGGTTATTCAGCCTGCTGAAGAAAGACGATCTGGCTCTGCAGTTCCCATTATCTCAGAGAATTAACTGTGTAACATTTCCCCCAGTCACTGGCAACTTTTGTGAAACCCTCATCTCTCTCTTTCATGTACAGCCTCACATGCCAAGGCCCGAGGGCCACACACATTCTCCTTGACCCACCCACACTTTCCAGCCTCTGCACCCCACTTTTTCTCCCTACATTTAACAGCAAGTTTAAAAAAGAGTTTTTGTATCTTTATGATTATTGGTTTATTAAGGTAAATGGTATGTCGTTTAATATGAATAAGATGCAGCAGGAATGGGGAGACTCTTACTAGAACGGGTGTGGTTGCACAGAGCATGTACAAATTTCTGTCAGGTATTGAAATGGTTATTAAATGTCTTGTTATTAAGGATTTTTTTAATGAAAATGATCTTTGTTCAACTGGTGTTTTTCTTGTCCCATGTCATTGGGTTTCATTTCAGGCCAAGTTTAATATTTTAATGAAAAAAAAAAACTTTTGCCCTCAAAGTAATTTGGTGGGAATGGGGTGTTGGTGGTAACATCTATGTATGGTTTTGATTCTGGGTGTCAGGTGTATAGCAAGCCTTGGGGAGGACGAGGTAAATCACCTCCTGGTTAATTGCTTTGATGTTAGCCTTAGTGAACAGTCTTTACTGCTAACTCCTCTTCCAACAAACTGTTTGCTTCCTGAAGTGATAACTAATAACCATTTTGAAGTGACAAATACCTGTAGATGTAAATGGACTCCTGCCAATAGGTGGTTGGGGGTTTTTGCCTCAATGTGTTCACTGAGCAGTCGTCCCTTTCAAAGTCTCCGAGTTCTTCATGCTTATTGTTGAGATTTAAGATGTTTTTTGGTAACATTGTCTTTTTTCCATCCTTTTTTTTCTTTCCTAACCTGGTTTCTTCCAGTGCAACTGCAGATAGAAGACCTGACTCGTAAACTGCGCACAGGAGACCTGGGCATCCCCCCTAACCCTGAGGACAGGTTGGGAAACAGTTTTAACCAGCTGACAGTAACGCTTTTACCTTTTTCTCAATACGTTTTACTGGTGGCAACATATTGTGTCAGTTCGATAAAATCCTAGTAAGACGACCGGTACTATGATCTTTGAGGGAATAGACTTTAATTAGCAATATCTTATAGCAGTCAACAGTTAGAAAATTGAAATGAAACTTAATTACTAGCAGAATAAAAAGTTACAGGAAAATGGTCAACTGGTTTCCAATTGGTAAGCATGTAGGTTTTAACCTGATTTCCCCATCCATAGGGACAGTGAGGTGGCCTGTTAACCTGCCTTTTCAGTACCTGCTTGGCTGAAAGCCCAGGGTGTAGAATTTTTCTCACAGGTACACGATGCAGGATTAAGACTATTTTTGAGCATCACTGAGTTTGAGCAGGCCAGAAACTCCGTCTGGTCAGCTCATTGCTACAGTCTTCCTGCTCATGGTTTTAAGACGGTTTTAAAATCAGATGAGCTTTCTAACCAGCTTCCTTTACTGCCAGTTAATTTTCAGCCTTGGCCATTGCCTGGGGGGAAAGGGGGCTGGGAGGGGCAGAACATTCCTACCTGTTTGGGGAAGGCAAGCACCCAACCCTAAATAACTGTGTTTTTAAGGGGAGTGTTGTCCTCAAACAGCTGTGGTAATGAGCGTTAGTTCACAATTCCTATCTCTGAAAATCAGAAGTTTATCTGAGGGAAATGAATTTTTTGGAAAAAAAAAAAATTTATTGGCTGATTGATCTTTGAACAGGTAAAATCTGGTCATTTAATAACAGGGCATGAAACCTACTTCTCAGTGAAATTTCTCCCAGTGCGTGTGCATTGTAGAAAACGCTACTTTAAAGAGTCAAGTTTTTGGCTTTTTGTTTAGTGCATTAAATCGGGAAGATGATGCAGTGGCTCTAGAAGTCATTTGTTTATGCATCTTTTTGTGGCCCCTTTACCAACAAATTAACTTCTTATCTCTCCATGTTGACCTTCAATTTTATTTAATAAATTTTATTATTTTTTTTTAATCTGTAGATTATGGTTGGAGGGTTGTGTTGCACTTATATATTTTTTTTTTATTTGAAGTTTTTTTTCTTTTCCCCTCAAGAAATTTGCATTGTAGGCTATAAACCACACGTGTTCAGTGCCTTTCTGGCCTTTTTCCGTTTAATACTATGTCTACAGGTTACCAGGCAATTCTTCAAAAGGTTGAATTTTTAACAAACTTTCTTTGCTTCCTGGAGAAGTGGGATTAGAATTTAGTTGATCTAATACGCTGCCAATTCAAGGTGAAGAAATTGGGCCAATCTGACCTTTAGAATATTAGCTATTGCCTTTTACTTCCACAATTTAACAAGAGGTTAAATTGTTGTAAGGCCTTTAAATGACCAATTTGGTACTGGTAAAAGTTGTTTTGATGATCAGCCAGAAATGCTTAATTCTAGCCAGTGATAAGGGGGGCGTTAGAAACACAAGACGTTAGGAGTAAAGTCAGCAGCTTTCGTCTCTCATACTCAGTTTGAAAGAGGCCCTAAGGCCTCGTTGGTTTTGCTTTGAGCCCAGATTGGAGGGAAACGCATGAGTTTCTTACTTTAATAAAATAAGATAATTTCTTAAGGTGTATTTTCAAAATTCAGCCACTTTATGCTATTTTGATGTTGCTTAACTTGCATAGTTAAAAGTGTCTTAAAATGTCTTGTAGATTTTAAAATGTGTAAGATGATAGTCTAATGAGCTGGGGTGTGTTTGCTTTTCACGGTTATTGGATTGTGCTAACAGTTTATACAAATGTTAGAAGTGGAGGTGTCATTTAGCCGTCATTAGCCATGAACAAACCTGACCTTTTATTCCATCGTGTGTGTAACGTGGTGTGACATGGTTCCCTTTAGGCTGAAGACAGTGGGAGCAGCCGAGTTCAGTCCTTGCTCTCCAACTAGGCAAGGTTCTTTCAACTAAACCAAGGGTGTAGGAGTCTTGACAACTTTCAGGATGTTTTTTTTAATAACCTGATCCACATGGTCTCTTCCCTTCTTGCAGCTGCTACTAAATTTTCATTCAGAAAATCAAGCTATGGTCCTTTTTGTAATCTGAACTCAGAATTCTAGGAGTGTAACTTCTCTTTTTTTATTACCGCAAAATCCAGCTGTGGTAAACTGACCATTTTATCATTATTATTTTTTACTTGTAGCAACAGCATTTCACTCCTTAAAAAATGAGAGAGAGAAAATCTGCTTTCTGGACTTGTAAACTAGGGTGGAGAAACAATAGGTTTTCCCCTTGCTGTTTGCAGGTTCAGACCCTAGACAAGTATTTGAGCAAATCTGCATTTGCAGCCTCTCTTAGAAGCTGCTTTAGCATTTTAACGTTTTTCTCTACCTAGACTCCCTAACCTCGAACAGCCAGAAAACAGGTTGACTCCTGGGCCTTGGACACAGCCAGCCAGGCCATTGAAGGAAAAGCAGAGACGAAGCCTTGCACCATCTCTCTCCATTGTGGGGGCCAAGTAGCTACAGTAACCTTGAGTCCCAGTTGCATTGGGTCAAAGAGCTCATACTTCTCATGTGTCGGGGGCACAGACACTCTTCCTGATAGGGCGTGAGCTCTCCAAGAGTTAACATTTGACCTAGACTTGGGGTTTCCATAGCTCATAAAGTTGTAATCACGTAATTTTTTTTTCGAATGAAAGAAAATCCGTATTTGGCAAGAAGACTCCAGAGGATGATAACTGTCCTTGCCATTTACAATACAAAGATTTGCCCCTATAAATCAGACTTTTTTCTCTTAACCACTGTTAGAAGCAACACACACACACACACCCTCGGTCCCCTTATGCTGAGCCAGCCTCCATCTCTCCATTCCACACGATCTGAATAGCACACGTTATGGTCGGTTCCTCCGAAGAGTTTGTGTTAGGGTCTAAAGAGACAGGGGGCTGGGAAGACTTACTATAGCCCGTGTGGGAATGAGAGAAGAGTTGGGGGCCAAGCAGTAACGGTGGTCTGTCTCCCACAGGTCCCCTTCCCCTGAGCCCATCTACAATAGCGAGGGGAAGCGGCTTAACACCCGCGAGTTCCGCACACGTAAAAAGCTCGAAGAGGAGCGGCATAATCTCATCACGGAGATGGTTGCGCTCAACCCTGATTTCAAGCCACCTGCAGATTACAAGTAAGCAGAAGTCTGGGTTGTCTGGAATGAGGACACACAACAATTATGCGTGGTCTGGTGGAAGTTTTTATACCAACTTCTCACCCCAAATCACCCGTAATCACAAGTGGCACCAAGAGTTAGTTCTAGAAGAGCTATTGGTTATGTATGTCGTGTCTTAGACATTGCAGAGGAATTGACAGTCTTGTCTTTTTTTAGACCTCCGGCAACGCGTGTGAGTGACAAAGTAATGATTCCACAAGATGAGTATCCAGAAATCAACTTTGTGGGGCTGCTTATTGGGCCCAGGTGAGTAACCACTGTACTGTGGGATGTAGACTTTCTAAGAACCTGTGAGATGTGTTTTGTGCGTAATTGATGCTGCTGAGTTAGGCTTTCCTATGAGAAAGTCTCTTTAACTTCCCCGTTTTACTGTGGAGAAGTCAAATCCACAGGATTGCTGTGCTGACCTTAACTTAGAGGTCACTGAGCTCTTGGTGGGAACAAAATCCAATTTTCTGTGCTTGCAGTTGCCCACCAGTGCCCAGCCTGCGTGCTCTGGACTGAAGCTGCATGTCAGGTGTGGTAACTCAATCCTTTTTGCCATTTGATTTCTGTCTTTGATAGAGGGAACACCCTGAAGAACATAGAGAAAGAGTGCAACGCCAAAATTATGATCCGAGGGAAAGGGTCTGTGAAAGAAGGGAAGGTTGGGCGCAAAGATGGCCAGATGTTGCCAGGGGAAGATGAGCCGCTTCATGCCCTGGTGACCGCCAACACCATGGAGAATGTTAAGAAGGCAGTAGAACAGGTGAGCCGGCCTGGAAACAAAGCTGCTTACCAGAATCCAGGTGGTGGCCCTAGCACGTCCATAACTACGCCCTTTGCATCTTCACTAGATAAGAAACATCCTGAAGCAGGGTATTGAGACCCCTGAGGACCAGAACGATCTACGGAAGATGCAGCTTCGGGAGTTGGCGCGATTGAATGGGACACTTCGGGAAGATGACAACAGGTATGTGGTCAGTTTCGGCGAGTGCAGGGAGACCTGAGGAACCGTGGAAGTAGAGAGGTTAGGTCGTGCGTATTCCTTGAGTTGATTTCTTTTTCCCCCCTCAACAGGATCTTGAGGCCCTGGCAGAGCTCAGAGAGCCGCAGCATTACCAATACCACGGTGTGCACCAAGTGTGGAGGGGCCGGCCACATTGCCTCAGACTGCAAATTCCAGAGGTGAGGAGCTGGCGGTTTGCCTGGCAGCTCTTAGCACGTTGATTGGTTGTTAATCTTGTGGACCCAAGAAAGTCTCTTTTCTGTGAATGTGGTAAGGGTGTGATTTAAAACCCAGGATTAGAAACAACCTTGTGTAGAACACCACTGTTTCACTGCACATCTGAGCTCAGGAAAATTGGAAGCTTCCGTTCAGGGTATAAGTGTTTTTGCTCGTGCTCGATATTGTCATTGCTGTTTAACATTGGTCCAGGAAGACTAGGCAGTCTGTGAATGTTTGACCAGTTGCAAATCAGCACCTACTATCAGCATTTTTCTGTTTTGGGTGGCAACTATATAAGGCCTTGTTGAGGGGGTTCTGGCAGTTTCTCCAGTCTTGCATAGTTTTCCTTCTCTCAAACTGGGAGTGGTGATGAGTCTTGGTCGTTGGGAGAATGTGTGCTTTCTTGGCTGATGTGGCTGGCTGTGGTTGGGTGCTCACTCTGTGCTTTGTTCTTAGCTCAGTGTCTTTGCTGTGGCAGAGATTCTTGTGATAGTCTGAGATGCAAAACTGGGCACTGAGCTAAAAAGCTGGTGAGATTTGCCCAGTAGGATGTCAGGGAGGAGCGGCGGGCTGATGACCGCTTTTTCTCATAACGTTCTGTATATAAGTTCTTTGGGTACGTTTCCTTGTTACTGAGTTTTTTCCTCTTTTTTCCCCCCCAATCTACCCTCAGGCCTGGTGACCCACAGTCAGCTCAGGATAAAGCACGTATGGATAAAGAGTATTTGTCCCTCATGGCTGAGCTGGGTGAAGCGCCTGTCCCAGCATCTGTGGGCTCCACCTCTGGGCCTTCTGCCACACCCCTGGCCAGTGCACCTCGGCCTGCTGCTCCTGCCAGCAACCCACCTCCACCGGTGAGCCTCAGCTGCCCCCTTTTTTGGTCTAGCTTCCCTATTGTCTTCTTCAGAGACTGGGAGCTATGGCCAAGTGCTTTGGGTGGGAGCAGATGGATGGACATGGCTGGCAACATTGTTCTTTTGGGATGTCAAACCAGTTTGGGGGACCTCTCACTTTGGGGGAGAGCTGTTCTTTCTGTTCTGGTCCCTTGGCATAGCCAAAAGAACAGTGTTGCCACCAGGGGAATCAGACAGGGACATTGGCGGGAAATGCCCTCACGTAGTCTCTCATGTCCACCACCCAGAGTCGCCCACCCTGGATGAATTCCGGCCCTTCAGAGAGTCGGCCCTACCATGGCATGCACGGAGGTGGTCCTGGTGGACCAGGAGGTGGCCCCCACAGCTTCCCACACCCATTACCCAGCCTGACAGGTGGGCATGGTGGACATCCCATGCAGCACAACCCTAATGGACCCCCACCCCCTTGGATGCAGCCGCCACCACCACCGATGAGTCAGGGCCCCCACCCACCTGGGCACCATGGCCCTCCTCCAATGGGTAAGTAAGTGTCAGACCAGAAACCTTGGGGTCTGGGATACAAAAGGGTTCCCATTAGGTTGTGCATTAGGTCTCCTTGACTTGGTGAGGCCCTGATTCCAGAAGGAGCAGGACTCCACTCTGGTTCAGGGAGTGACTTCTCTGTAGGCAGGTCAAGGCCCACCTCTTCTAGCAAGGCTCTCGGATAAGTTGGTGGTGGGTGTTTTCCCTGGCCAGTTCACATGTCCTGCTAAGTTCTTGCTCTCTCCTTCCATCAAGATCAGTACCTGGGAAGTACGCCTGTGGGCTCTGGGGTCTATCGCCTGCATCAAGGAAAAGGTAATGGAGCCCATTCTGTTTCCTTGGCCCTTTTGGGTCCTCGCCTTGGCCTGGGAGTGAGTGGCGGTTCTGTTCAAAGTTCCTCTTCTCCGAGGCCTCACCCTCGCCTGTCTCTCTCCGCGCAGGTATGATGCCACCGCCGCCTATGGGCATGATGCCGCCGCCGCCGCCGCCTCCCAGTGGGCAGCCGCCGCCCCCTCCCTCTGGTCCTCTTCCCCCATGGCAACAGCAGCAGCAGCAGCCTCCGCCACCTCCTCCGCCCAGCAGCAGTATGGCTTCCAGCACCCCCTTGCCATGGCAGCAAAGTGAGTGGAGTATGTTGGGCTTATGGGGGTGGGTGGGAAGGGGATGGGTTGGGAGGAACACACGAATCTCAGCTCACACACACACATCTGGGGGTGAGACTAGTCTCTGCTGGGGGCTGAGGCTGTGACAGAAAGGGGCCTCATGGCCCAGAGGAGTCTTGGGGGAGGAGAGCTGATGTTTGGTGTGGTTGTGTCTGGGGAAAGGTTTGTGGGGCACCTGGAGGGGAGCCTGCTATCGGAGGTAGGGTGCTGCAAGTCTAGGCTCTCGCCAGGTGGGTGAGCTACAGGCTGGCCTGGGCCTGGTGTGCTTGGCCAGGTGGGGTGGTGCACGCATGCTCAAGGAGAGGGCTGTGCTGGGCCTGAGAGACTGCTGGGTGGGCCGGGGAGTGGGGAAGAGAGCAGCTGTGGCCTTGAGGTTGAATGTGCCGTTTGGTGGTGGCGGCGGCGGCTGGGCGGAGGGATGTCAGAGCCGGTTGTTGTGTCTGGTACCTCCCCTCAGCCCTTCCTGGGGCATTGGTGACAAAGGGCTTACTCTGTGAAGCCCAGAGACCTCGAGGCTGACCCCAGGGTAGTCCTGCCCACCCCTCCACTCCCATCACCAGGACAGCCCCGCCCGCCCGCCTGTCCCCCACCACCGTACCGCATGCCAAGCAAGGAGCAGACGCCCTCGCCCCCATCCCAAGGCAGCAGCCGCAGAGAGCCGCGGTGTGCCCCCCCCCGCGCGTGTGACCTTGGGCTTCTTTACCACCCCAGATACGACGACTACCACCACGAGCGCTGGCACAGGGTCCATCCCGCCATGGCAACAGCAGCAGGCGGCTGCCGCAGCTTCTCCAGGAGCCCCTCAGATGCAAGGCAACCCCACTATGGTGCCCCTGCCCCCCGGGGTCCAGCCGCCTCTGCCGCCCGGTGCCCCTCCCCCTCCGCCGCCTCCGCCACCTGGTTCCGCCGGCATGATGTATGCCCCACCCCCCCCTCCTCCGCCTCCCATGGACCCTTCTAACTTTGTCACCATGATGGGCATGGGGGTGGCGGGCATGCCGCCCTTCGGGATGCCTCCAGCTCCCCCACCGCCTCCACCACAGAACTAGACTTGTTTTTTTAAGAAAATATATATTAGAGAGAGAGAGAGAGAGAATTGGTCTCGTTTAAACACACGCCGAACCTCACCATATGGAGCCAGACATTGGGACGCACGCGTGTGATTGTGTGTGCACGCATGTGTGTGTGTGCACGCACCGGGCTGGGCCAGGCGACAAGGACACGCTTGGGAACGGGCAGGTGGTAGCAGGGGTGCCAGCTTGGGCTCTCCTGGCGCCCCCGTAGCATCGAGTGTCTTCTTTGTCTTCTTCTCTCCTCACCCAACTCCCTTTGCCTCTTCCCAAACCGGGCCGCCAGGATCCCTCCCCGCGGCGGCGATGGCCCGAGCCATGAGAGTGAGGACTTTCCGCGCCCATTGGTGACCCTTCCAGGCAGACAGCCTCAGCAGCGCCCCTGGTGGACAGGATGGTTCGGCAAAGCAGCCTGAGTAGTTTTTGTGGACGGAATCGGAACACGCTGGCTCCATGTCGTGAAATTTTTATTAATTTTTTTCTTTTTCTTTTGTTGTTTCCTCATCTCTTCCTTTCTTCAGACTCCGTCCAAGGAGATGCTCTCCCCGGTCTTCTGCTGCAATTAGATTCCTTTCCCTCCTTTCCAGTCCTCAGTTCTGCCCTTGCCAAGGAGAGGGGAGCAAATGGTTTTAGGCACAGGCTCTGGCTGTTAGTGTCCACCTAGCAGTGACGGGGCTCTTTTGGTTCGCAGTTTTTCAGGGTGCCAGTGCCACCCCATAGATGTTTTGATGAGTTTGGGGTTTTTAATCTTTGCCACCCTGGTACAGGGTCTTGTGAAGTGCAGAAGGGGGCTATTCTCCAAGGTTCCGGGGTCCACATTTATTCCGGCACCCCTGCCAGCAATAGGTAGGGCAGCCACCTCAGGCTTGCCTGCCAGCCACCCCAGCATTCTCTCCTGCCTCCCTGACCACTGCGGCCTCAGGTTCCATTTATTTCTCTCTTTCCTGGAAGGGTTCCCTTTAAATTTTATTTTTATCCTAAACATCTGAATGTTTTGCAGTGTCTAAGGGTTTGAGCCCCTTATTCTTCATTCTACTTCCTTTCTTCCCCTTCCCTCTTCACAGAGTGATTATGTTGACAAATAATGTATAATTGCGCGTTCTCTTCACTGGTTTATCTGCAGAAATTTCTCTGGGCTTTTTTTCAGTGTATGATTTAACACTGCCTTAAAGGGGGATATTCCATTGAATAAAAGAGCAGTGTGGTTTTCTGGGTCTGATTTTTTTTTTCTTTTTCTTTTTCTCTTGAACCCCTTCCACCACCAGCAGCAGCCCGTTACCTTAGCTCATGTTGAGCACCTGGCCCCATCCTCTCTCCTCCCTGGGGAGGGGGCTGTGGGACAGTCATTAAGGAAGCCTGCCACCTGCCTCCCTGTGTTGTGGCCGCGGTGGTGGAAGCTGAGTGTGTGGGCAGCTCCACCGTCTCCCCCTTGTTCACTAGTTGATATAGCTGAGGACCAGGTTAACCCCTCCCTGGTCACCCCGTACTACCGCCTGGTGTCCGTCCTTTTGAAAGCCTTCCCCTGGCCCTGGACCTCCACTTTTGATGAGCTCCAGTTGTGATTTGTGCCTGGAAGCTGCCGCTTACTGAGGCCCTGGGCCTGGGGAGCCTCGACACTAAAGGTCAGGGCAACTAATCCTGCCCGTCGGCACAGAGCAACTAAAATTAAAACCGCCAAGTGGCTTTTTCTTTCTCTGCTGGTGACTTGCCGCCTGCCAATGCTGCAGGCTTGGGGGAGTGGTAGGGCAAGATAAAGTACCCCACCTTGTGCTTCGTAAGCACTTCTTTGCAAAGGGCCTTAGGCTGTTTTGTTCATTCATGTCTGGGCCAGTGGACAGTACCCGTTGTGGCACCAGAAAAATCCACTCCACGCAGTGGTGAGGTGTTGCCCAGCTCTGGCTATTGTTGCTGGGTGGTATGGCCTCTGGGGAGAGAGCTGTCTTAGCAACCCTTCTTCCCCCGCTGCCTTTACTTCCTTCAGGCAGGCTGAGGGACAGGCAGGCTCCTGTTGCCCCCCCCCCCCCCCCCCGCCCCCGGCATCTGTCCAGTAAGGACAACAACTCTGGCCTGGGCCATTGTCCAGCCTTGAGCTGAGGCTGGCTACTGCTGTTTACCCAGAGTGGAGCCCAGTGCCTGGGCCCCAGCCAGGTTGCCTGTGTGGCTTTGTGATAGGCGGACAGGCTGAGGACGCCTCAGAAACAAGGCCACTTCAGCGGGTTCCCAGAACCAAGTCCTGAACTCCCAACTAGAAAGTAGAGGGGAAGGCTCTTCTTTGTCCTTAGCTGAGGGGCTGGGGGCGGGGACGGGGCTGGCTACCTACCGTCTTTGACTTTGGTTTCACCTCATTGCTTCCCCCACAAGCTTGGTTTCCCTGGTGGGCTCATTGGGTGGTTAATTAGCTCTTTGAAGCTCTGGAAGAGGCAAAGTGGCGCTGTGTGGGTTTTAGAAATAAAATCAATAAATGACTTAACTACAGCCCAGCTATCTCCTCCGTCTCTCCCCTGGGGCCAGCTCCATTCCTGTGCTCGCTCCCTGCTTTTGTTAAGGTTTCACAGAGAAAGTGGTTGGAGAAGGAAGGCCCCAAAATGGGGGAGAGAGAGCAGGAAGGCTTGGCTCTCAGATGGGAACCACTTCCCCACCTGCCTTAAGCCACCCGGGGCGGAAGGAAGCCAGGCACCCGCACTTCAGTTTGTGCTGCTGCAGCAGTATCTCCCCACCCCCACAAAGCTGGGTGACAGGAATGCATTCGGGAAAGGTCAGTGCCAGGCTCTGTTAACGGAGACCAGGCAGGCGCTCTGCTGGAGACACCCAAGATTGGTCCCGAGAAGGAGGCACGATCCTGGTTAGAAATGGATGTAAACAACCCGAGTTAGTTGAGGTTGGGAAAGTGCTTGCGGGCCCCGTTAACAGTAAATCTCCACGGGCAGTGGGGGTGGTGACGGGGATGGGGGAAAGGAGGTGAGCCGGAGCCCCCAAGGTTTGATTGTGCTGGGCTGTGGCTTGCAAAACAAAGGAGGGGTTCTGGGTGGCATCGGCCCTCGGAGAGAGCCTGGGAACTGGGCGTGGGGACACAACAAAGGCTGAAGCACGAGAAAATAAAGTAGTTGGACGGAAAAATGGAAGACGCCTCCATGCCAGTGAAGTTGTGGAGCGGGGGTCTTTCAAAAAAGCACGTTGTGGATAAGCTGGAAGAGGGCAGGCAGTTCTTTGGGGCCAACAGCCAGAAAAGGGTTGGGTTACTGGGAAGCAGGATGAAGTGGGAATGGGCTGTGGGACCAGTTCTTAGTGGAGGGCCAGAGAGGTCGTGCAAAGGAGGGCTGAGGACAGAACATGCTGCCACTCTGGGCGTGAGCTGCAGCCCTGATGCTTGAGCGGGCCCCGTGGGCCAGTCTGAACTCCACTCCCAGCAACCTGCCATGGGGATAGTACAGGCCGTGGACGGGGGAGGGACGCTGTGAACCTCAGACGCTGAGTCAGGCCCAGAGATGAGGTGCTCGTGGGTGGAGGGCAGGGCGCAAGCTCCACAGCAGTACAGCCCAGGAGGGGGCACCCAGCATGCAAGCCTCCCAAGTGGAAGGAACCAGAGACCACCAAGCATTCGTTTTTTAAATACAAAAAAGAAATACTATTGCCATCAAGTCGATTCCGACTCATAGCGACCTTGTAGGACAGAGTAGAACTTCCCCATAGGATTAACAAGGAGCGCCTGATGGATTCAAACCACCGACTTTTCGGTTAGCAGCCATAGCTCTTAACCACTATGCCACCAGGGTTTCCGTTTTTTTAAATAGGTTACAATGACTTTTTTTCTTTTTTTTCCCTTAATAAAGTTTATATTCCCGCTCTGGGTCAGCACGTTTTGGTGTTTTTTTCCCCGCTCTCTACTTTTAAACAAGGCACCAAGGGGATGCTGTTTGGGGCAGGGGTAGAGCGAACCAAAACCAAACCTGTTCTTGAGTCGATCCTGCCTCATAGCGAACCTATAGGACAGAGAAGAATGGCCCCATAGGGTTTCCAAGGCTGTAATCTTTACAGAAGCAGACTTCTCCCGTGGAGCGGCTGGTGGGGGCCAACCGTCAACCTTTGGGTTAAGCAGCCGAGCACTTAACCACAGCACCACCAGGGCTCCTTTGGGGTAGAGCAGGGCCTGGGAATCCAGTCCCGGGTGGGACATGCAGTTTGGCTCCCACACCAAGCTGGTGATTCCAGGGCTGGGGCTACTGTGGCTCAGGAAGTCTTCAGAAGCAGCTTGGCTTTCCCCAAACCCTGGGGCTCTCAAGAGCATCTGGCAGCCGTCCAGGCCCCTGACCTGCTTCTTGGCCCTCAGACCAGAACAACCAGTCCTTCCCCTCATCTGGCCTACCACCTGCCCGGGGGGCCCGGGCCTGGTTTGAAATAGCACAAGGTGCTTCGGGCTCCTTTTGCTCAAAGTACAAAGTGGGATCTAGCCTGCCTCCACAAGATTAGGAGGCAGCAGCTGGATGAGGGATTTATACTCTCATTTGAAAATATAGGAGGTTTCTGGGTGGCGCAAGCTGTTTATGAAAGGGTGGTTTGAACCCACTCAGTGGCACTGCGGGAGAAAGGCCTGGTGACCTGCTTCTGTAAGGATTATAGCCAAGAAAACCCTGTGGGGCTTGGTTCTACTCTAACACATGGGGTCACCATGAGTCGAAATTGATGGCAATGGGTTTGGTTTGGTTTTGGGTTTGAGAGTGTAAATTTGACGGAGGGACCCAAGGCTCAGAAAAGTAACTAGCCTAAGGTCACACAGCAAGTCACTGAGGCCAGGACTTGAGCAGGAATCTGGGTAGCCAAAGCCTCAGAAGGAAAGACCAGAAGCTGCTGGGCTGCATGGACGGATGAATAAAGGCCCTGGCAGGCAGATTAGACTTGTACAGGCGAGGTCGCATCTGAAGATGCTGGCCCTCTGTCCCATTCCCCTGCTCAGCGTGTGGCCCCCAGGTGGGAAGGATAAGAGAAGGGCTCATCTCATCATTCATCTGCAGCTGGACCACCAAAAAAAAACCGTTGCTCCTGATTCCGACTCATGGTGACCCCATGTGTTAGAACTTCTCCATAGGGTTTTCTCAGCTATACTCTTAATGGAAGATTGCCAGGACTTTTCTTCTGTGGCACCACTGGATGTGTTTAAACTGCCAACCTTTAAGTTAGCAGTCAAGTGCAAACCGTTTGTGCCACCTAGAGACCTAGCTGGACCACAGGGACACCCAATATAATTAACCAATAATATGAGTGTGCTTGGGCAGGGAGTGCTTCAGCTTCTCCCACCCCTGTGGGCCCACATGACTACAGTTCCCAGGGGCCCCTGCTCCAGGGTGGGGGCCACCAGCCAAAGCAGGCCTGTAATCTGACCGTCCCCCTCAAAAGGTCACTTTAGAGCTTCTTGAGGGACAGCAACAGAGGGATCTCAGAGTGCCTCGGCTTTGGTGGGGGTGGGGTGGGTCAGTGGCCCTGCCTCAGGCGACCTCCCCCACACCACCCCCTAGGACCCAGGGTCCTCTCTGACAGGGCACACGCACCCTCAGCTCCTGCCCCTCTAGCCACACAGGCAGCTACCGCAGGTCCTCTCCTGCGCCTGGCGGGGAGCCCTCCACGTGGGGCCGCCAAGAAGGCTGGATGGAGCTCCGCAGGCGGTGGTTGGTCAGGACTGGGCAGCCAAGCCGGCTCTGTTTGTCACTCCGGCCACCTGCCCCCCTTGACAGCCCCCTCAGCCCCACCAGAAGCCGGGTTGGGAGCCCACAGTCCAGCCCTGCCTTCAACTGTAACTCAGGAAAAGGGCCCAGAGAGGGAGAACACCTTATCCAAAGTCACACAGCAAAGCAGGGCTCCTGTCAAGCCTCAAACCTCCCAATCCAGCCCTCTGCCTGCTGGAACTTGTCTCCAACCCTGCAAGAGGCAGGGGACAGAAGACCCAGTGCGCGAGGCCTGGAGGAAGTGGGCCAGCACAGGGCTGTGTGTGAGCCGGGCTGGGCCTGGCCCGGCCCGTGTGGAGACCGGGGCTTTCCCCTCCCTCCTCTCTTCCCCTCGACCCCAAAATAGCTCCCAGAGCTGTCTAGCCAAGATCCTCCCATCCTATCACAGGGGTGGGGGAGGCGGGTTGTGCTGCCCAGAGCCAGGCCTTAAATCCCCCACCGCAGCTAGGGAGTGAATCACTGCCTGGCTGGAGGCATCTCGTGGCTGCCTGTCCACCGTCAGTCCATCTGTCCCGCCCGCAGCCATGTCCCGGCCCCTGACAGACCAGGAGAAGAGGAAGCAAATCAGCGTGCGCGGCCTGGCCGGCGTGGAGAATGTGACCGAGCTGAAGAAGAACTTCAACAGGCACCTGCACTTCACCCTCGTCAAGGACCGCAACGTGGCCAACACCCGAGACTACTATTTCGCGCTGGCTCACACTGTGCGGGACCACCTCGTGGGCCGCTGGATCCGCACACAGCAGCACTACTATGAGAAGGACCCCAAGGTGTCATTCGGGGCACCCTGGGGGGGCGGGCTTGGGCCCCCCAGGGAGCTAGGAGATCCTGGCCTCCGGAGTGGTGACCCCTTCCTGGGTCAGGGTTTTCTGCAGCAAAATAAAACGTCACCCTAGTTTTCTGGGGCCAGAGTTGCAGGGGTGCCAGGGAAGTGGGTGCTGGGCTCAGCCTAGAGGGAAGGACCTGGGGCAGGGGCAGATCGGGGGCTGGGGCCAGAGGCCTAGCATCCACTCAGAGAAGGTTGGAGGGGCAGCTGGTGGGCAGGAAGCCCCCAGTGGCCTGAGCTGGTCATGGAGTGGAAAGCCTTGTCATTGAATATGTGCGAGCAAGCGTGTGCCGGCGCAGTGGGCGGGATGAGGCCGGGCAGCTGGGGCAGAGGGATCAAGTGTCTGGTGGAGGAGTCACTGGTAAATGTCAGCAACATAACACCCCCACCCCCAAGGCAGGGATGGGGGCAGGGCAGGCAGAGAGGGGACCCAGGACAC